CCCCCCGGCACCCTGGCTCCATGCTCCAGTAGCTGGTAATGAGATGATATTTTTCAGGTGCCTCTTTGCAGTAGCGAAGGAAAGAACGAACATGAATGGGCGAGCTAGTTATACCACACATGGGAGTGTGCTACCACACTGTCTGTAATCCCAGTCCCCGGGAGGCTGAGGCAGGAGGCCGTGGAGGAGCAAGACCGTCTCAGAAACAACACAAGCCAGCCAAGGCCTCTGGGGGCGGGCCCGGCCTCACCTTCTCTTGCAAATGCAGGTTGTTGCGCAGATGCTCCTTGACCTCCTCATCCGTGTCCCTCTGTGGAAAGAGGCTCCGTTTTATTGTTATGTAGGCAGGGCGCTGACGTGTGGGGGTCAGCAGCAGGGTGTAGCTGTGACCTTTATGAGAAGACGGACACGTGCAGAGTTATCCCCAGTTACTGACGCCCAGACTAGCGCTGACGTGAGGGGGAGCCAGCTCTGATCCCCTTGATTGATTCTGCCCTCTGCTCCGAGGCCCCCCTCCCGCCCCCTCCCCGAGGACGGGCCCTGCGGGGCCCCGCCCAGCTGGCCGCCAGCTTACACAGCCGTATCGGGACTTCGCCAGGGAGATCAGCTCCTGGTCGCCCGGAGTACACATGTTCAAGCCCACGGGCAGCATCTTCTTCAGGGTGGCCACGATGAGGGAGGTCTGGATGGAGTACAGGTCTCCCCTCCGCTTCGTCTTCTTCCGCTCCTGGTCCTGTCCTCCAGACTAGGGCGGTGTGGATAAAGAGAGGGATCAGTGACTGAAAAGCCCTGCTTCCTCCGAGAGGCAGCCTGCCTCCCTGTGGCCCCGTCCACGCAGGCCGGGCCTGGCCGCAGCCTGCCTCCCTGTGCCCCTGTCCACGCAGGCCGGGCCTGGCCGCAGCCTGGCTCCCTGTGGCCCCGTCCACGCAGGCCGGGCCTGGCCGCAGCCTGCCTCCCTGTGGCCCCGTCCACGCAGGCCGGGCCTGGCTGCATTTCAAAGAACAGGCAAGAGTGTTAATTAAGACAAAACAGGAGCCCATGGAAGACCAGCAGTCTCCAGCCTTCCTTTCTGCACCCGCACACTAGACACAGCACACATTTGCTCACTCGCTTCTGTACCCAATAAATGGCTGATGACTGACCAAAAGACCGCATGACAGAACCAAGTTCCCCTACGCTAGGGGGTGAGTAATGACAGACATGCCCTTCGTGGGACAAGGTGCCGTGGTTTGGATCGCTGTCACCCTGTGGAATCCTACACTCCCTGGACTCCAGGGATGGCGTAAATTCTCACAGGAGGAGAAAAACACTACGGAAGGACTGGTTTGGGGATGGACTGGGAAAAACCGGAAGGAAAGGAATTCCTGGTGGCTGCCTCATCCGCCTCATGGCTGCGAGTCCAGCGTGTGAAGCTGGGGGCTCTGGGCGTGCAAGCCTGGGCTGTGAGTGCGTGTGAAGCTGTGGGCTGCGGGCGTGCAAGCCTGGGCTGTGAGTGCAGCGTGTGAAGCTGTGGGCGTGCAAGCCTGGGTGTGAGTGCAGCGTGTGAAGCTGTGGGCGTGCAAGCCTGGGCTGTGAGTGCAGCGTGTGAAGCTGCGGGTGTGCAAGCCTGGGTGTGAGTGCAGCGTGTGAAGCTGCGGGTGTGCAAGCCTGG